AAAGACCAGCCCTGTGCTGTATAGCAGTATCAGTAATGGGCGTAATTTGAAGCCAAATTTATGTCATTTTTTTCTGTTCTACATCAGAGACAACGTCTCTCTATGAAATACATATTTACATCCAAAAATTTATAAAACAATTTAGTTTTAAACTCCATAATCTGACTTCATAAATGATAGAAAATTTATCTTCAGTGATACAACAACTTTAGGATTGTAATTGATTAAATATCCATTAGTGCTTGGCATCTAAATAATTTAGAAGCTTCTCCCTTTGGAAAGAGAGGTAGCATGAGTGACCAGTCAGAAGTGCAGATGTGTGTAATTTTAAGTGAATGGGTCTTTGGAAACATGTGGCTATGTTGTGTTTCCCTCACAGATAGTTCAGCTTTCTAAGATTACATGATGGTGGTAATTTTATTTTAGCTATTTAACACTCTTAGGAAAATGAAAAGTAGAGGATTAAAAACATGCCTTGCTAATTAACTGCTATGGTTTATTCTTTGTATTATTTTATCTCTAGATCAGTCGTATTGTCATCGGCTGCAACACGACATGTATTTTCTTACAAGCAATAGCCGACTGAATGAGCAAGTGGTTGATAAAATTATTCTTCAGCTTAACAGAGTCTACCCCCAAATTCTTACCAATGCAGAGGCGGAAAAGGTAATTGATGAATTTTCCTGTATCTCTGAATGTTGCATTGTTTTTGCAGGTCAGTAGCTCAGCTGCCTTCTTCTTGACTTGACTCTTGGTGCCACATGGAGCCTGTCTTCCTCACCTCTTTCTTGCTGACCGGTTGTATCTGGGATCTCGTAACAGAGGAGAAGTCGCAGGGCTGGCATATTCCCTGTGCCAAGTGGTTAGGAGAGAGGGCACACTCTTCAGCAGCAGCTTCATGCCGCGGTCCCTATCATGATGTCTGACACCATGTGTGCAGAAGCATGCTATCTTATAACCACTCCGTGGGCAGGATTGCACCCATTCTGTGACCAAATGCCCTGCATGCCTGCCTCCTTACATGAGTCCGTGTGGAGTGTCATGTCAGATGGTCTGTGCTGCATCCAGCTGTATCCACAAAATCGTCTGTATTAGCTTAATCAGTTTTGGTTGCCAATTAATGTGATTAACAACTCTGAGTATAGGTAGAGAAGGGGGGCATTAGTTGTACCTATAAGTGTGGAATCTGTGGGAAGTGGATGGATTTGGTAATATCTTCCAGTGGTGCCGCTATGTGTGGAGGAAAGCCGCCCTCCCTGGCATGAAGTTTTCAAAAATGGGTAGCTAATTTTAGGGAGGAAGATCTTTTAAACTTGTGTGGAGTGATCGTTAAGCTCAGTTAAAAGCTTCCCAGATCCTGCTTATAACAGTTTGTACTTGCCCTCTGCTGACTTCATTGTCTGCACAAGGCTTGGGGTTTTGGCATATCAGTATTTTACCATTAGGAAAAATAGGTCTAATTTTGTCATAATCAAACTCCATGAGGACGAATAGTGGTTTGGTGGTGTAGAGCAGTGCTAGATCATCACCTGAGCTGGTCTAGCCACTAAGCTGTGATAAACAGTGTGACATGCACAATGAAAGATGATTCATTCCCTCAAGAGCTTCAAAATAAATGCATAAAGAATCTGTGAAATGTAATTTGTGACTTCTGCACTTAGCAGACAGAAATGAACTGCTTTTACATAGGCCCAGGAAAGTTTCTGTCAACTCTATTGAGTGTTTAGGAAGCTTACAGTCTCAGCTGTGTCCAGCAGACCTGGGGGAATTTTGTCACAGTAAGGACTATTGTATAAGGTGTGTTGCGTTCCTGTCCCCTTGATCCGAGCTAAGTATACAACAAAGGATATCTACTGTACTGGTCTGAAATAAAATACGTTGCTGAGAATGGCTTTGGATGTTTTCCAAATAAGCTGAAATCAGTTTGATGTATGTAAGGCTAAGTAAGCATTTTCACACTCTTTGTAAGGTCTCCTAATACTCGTCACATTCTGGACTACAGAAGAAAAGTACTTTCTTCTGCAGCTGCTTGCCATGTTGCTGGAATAATAAGAGTTTGTACAGGTTGCACTGGGTATGCAGTAGTTAATTGTGCTGGAAACAAATGTGTAATCTCGGGATGATGAACACTCCAATATTGGGGCTAATATAATCAGTATAAGGTACCTTTTTGGATGATCATTGCTAGGCAACTATGGGAAAACTTGAAAACATAAAACTTTATTATAAGATTTCTTGATATTTTCTGTCAACAGCTGTCAGGATCAAATTGTAGAATAGCAAGCACCATGTTAGTTTGAATGCAGAGAAAACATCACATGCAGAGTAGCTGTCACTTTACTGGGACAGAAAAAAGAATGTGGGAAGGCAGAGGCAATACGCTCTCCATCCAGCAGTGCTGACCAGGTGGAGCTCAGTGTCTTGAAAACTGCTGTGCAATGCATGTATGTCCTTTTTGAGGTCCCCTCATTTTTTTGGCCCATTCTTTTAGTAAATGTAAAACACGCTCTGTATCTCTACTCCCTGGCATACTGTAAAGTGATGTCAAATTGATCTCCAGCTGTTGTAATCTCTCTCCTGATGAATGCTTTTCTCTTACAGTTCAGGAATCCAAAGGCATCGCTCCATACCAGACTTTCAGATCTGATAAAGCACCTTCAAAAGAAAGGAGACAGACACTGTCAAGAGTTTTACAGGGCTCTACAGATCAATGCTGAACAGCTGTATAATGACCTGCCAAGCAGGAAAATCTTGAGTAAGTTGATTTACGAGATGATAGAGTTGTGGATTTCCTCATCAGTATATTACAAAAGTTCGTTTCAGGTGTGATTTAGGTTATTTAAATAACCCATTTATGTTATTTAAATAATTCATGGGGTATACCTTAATTCCTTCTTACTGGAATTTTCCAAAAGCTGTAAGGAGATTTGACTGCATAGTTCTTGTTATTTGTTGCCTAGTGTGGGCAGTCCAAAACTCTTTTATTGTTTTGAAATATGAAATGTGTCTTTAAAACAGGTTAAGTGCGACATGTAACACAGCAATATAACTTGTATGAAGTACAGTTTCCCTTTTCGTAACCATTGCTTCTCAATGGCTTGTTTATTTCCTCTTGTGTTTATTCTGACTTGTAGTACATAAGAACATTACAGACCTCAAATTTGTTAAGCTCAAAACTCTGGTGGCCCAGAAGCTTAGCTTCCCCTCAATCCATAAATCTCCTAGTTGTGTCTAGTTTAACACGAAGCAAACATTCATAGGCCTTTCCAACGACAAACTGTGATATTAATCACTTAGGACTTGTTTTGTGCAGCTGACAGGCCTAACTAATGTCCGTAAAGCTGCCCCCCAAATATACATGTGTGTACTTCAGAAGGACCGAGGCTCAGACAGGTTTGATTCTATACGACAAAGGAGCTCATTTCTTCAGGGAAAACTGTGAAGCCTGATGTGGCAACTTCAGATAATTCTTACTCTGTGATGGTGTTTCTATCCCCCCCCCCCCCCCAACAAACTGGAGAAAAGAATAATGTTGCAAGTGGATGGGAAGTAAAGCTCGGGCATCCTGCATGCTGCAATAACTTGAGGAGCTTGAGGGAAAGCTCCCATGTTTAAGTTAATGAATCTGCAAAGGGACTGCAATTTAAGAAATCCTTATAAAGTATCTAACAGCACTAATGCTTCGCCGATGTCGTGGTTTGGCTGGGATAGAATCACAGCCCAGCCATGCTGGGCAGGCTGTTGGTAGTTCTGAGTCAGGCAGGGCAGCTGACCTGAGTTCGTCACAGGGGTAGCCCATACTGTAATGTCATAGACATTGTAAAGGGGGAAGGTTTGCTGAGGAAGGGGAGTTCCTGTGGGGTTCCTGCTGGGGTTCCTACTGCTCCTCCTCTGGCTTCTCCCTGCTGCTGAGGACTGCTCTCCTATCGATTGTGACCACTGCATATTCATTTGGCCAAGTATAACTTTGTATACCTCTGGTATTAGTGCTATTTCATTAAATCTGTTTTCACTTCAACCCACGGGTCTCCTCTCCTTTTCCTGATTCCCCTTCCTGGCTGGCGAGGGGTCTGTGAGTGATAGAGCAACTGTTATAGTTTAACCCCAGATACGGGCTAAACATAGACAACTGGTCAATTGATTTCTAGTTAAACTCCAGTGAGATTCAAACTATTACACCAAAAGTCCACAGGTTCAAAAAAAACCCAGTTAGAGCTCTCTAACTACATTGTCTAGCTTCGTTTCACCTGTCATTTTGAAGAAAAAGGTTTCTATCTAAAACAAATACGTACTGGTGGAAGACTGCACCATTTTCCTGCCTGCACAGGGAGGCTGCAAAGGTACCCCAGGTCTCCACATCCCTGAACCCTCTTGGAACTGGAAAATTCTGGGCCCATCCCTGCCTCAGAATCTCAGATCAGCATGAATCCAAATTGATTAAGCCCTGCAGCAGCTTTAAGGCACTGCTTTTCATCTGATATTCGCCTTGCAGAAGTCATGCCCTTTGAGGGAACAGGCTCTTAAATCGAATAGTCTTGGATCTGTCATTTTTACTTGGGTAGAGCTCAAGAGCAACAGGTTTTTTTGGTAGGCTTACAAGAAGGCAGCAGACAGCCTTATTGATTAAGAGCAACTTAAGAAGTCTTAGTGTAGTCACTAAGAATAAAATTCCAAGAATGTGGTGATGGTTTAAGAATTTAAGCTCTGTTAATGTTCAATAACACCTTCTACAAGCCACTTCTGAAAATGTATTTTAATATACATGTAGACAGTGGCCAAGGCTACTGTCCAGACAGTCTGAGTTTGCTTGGGGGCTGGAAATAGCATAGCTGTGACCAAGATCATCCGCACCCAGAAAACTCACCTTGGAAATTATGCAGATGTGGAAATTATCCACCTGTGAAGGTGGACTCTCATGCTGCCGTGTGCCATTGTCATGCCTGGACAAAGCAGCTGAAAGGAAACTTGTGTCGGGTGTCTGTGTGATGTTTTCACTTTTAGCTAAAGCACAAACATGCTCATCCTTGCACCTGATTTATGTGGTTACTTGAGAGGTTTTACTGGGGTAGCCATATGAGTAGGCAGGGTTAGAGCTTCTCTGTTCAGACGGCACGTAACAAGTACATGTGCTAGAAGTGCTTCAGAGAAACAACAGAGCTGTTTGTGGTGCCCCAAAACTTTTGCTGCCCTTGCATTATGCGAAGGGACTCCAGTAACCATCATAAGTCATTAAATTATCTGTGTCTTGGTACGCTCTCTTATGTTACTGTTCTCAGAATGATGAGAATAGTTTAAGTACTGAGTTAAAATGCTACTACATGGTGAGGTTCTGCAGTTTCCTTGTATTGACCTAAGAAGGAAATAATGAGATAATTGTGTTAATATGTTTGCTACTTCTTATGAGTTCTGTAACTAAAACAAATGTCTGCACTCTGGATTAAATGGTCAGTAAACATCTGTTTAGCATTTTTAGCTAAAACCACAAGCAGTTCTATTCAGGAAAAGCTCCATTTTCAATATGAGGTATTATTTGTATTTTAACTGAATGTGAACATTTTGAATGACCTCTAACACGTATGATTTTTATGTTACTCAAGTGTTACTCAGAGGTAGTTGTTAAATTTGTCAAATTTAGCACAGAGCATTTATGGAATTGACAGTAGAGTTTGTAAATGTGAGGAGAAAAGGGAATCCCTAACATGGGGACTTTGCTGTAAAGGCAGATTGAGCTGAAACAAACAGCATTATAAACACCTGGAGAAATTATTTGTGAGGACACCGATGAGCTATGGCCGGGACAGAGTTCTGTAGTAGATTACATGGAGCTGTACATACAAAAAATGTTTTCTACAGAGGAAATCCTACCGAAGATTTCTTTTTCGTTTTTAAAACAACTTTAAAATTTGTGCTAGAACAAAATTTCTCTGCCTCGAGTATAACAGTGCAAGTGCCGTGTTCAGTAATGGCTGGGGATCCCCACTAGAGGGTGGGGAAGGCACACGGCACGGGCGACTTCAGAGCCATTGGAGCCAAACTGGATCTTCCAAGTGACTCAGAAAATGGTTTTATTTCTCTCGATGCTGGCGTAGACCAGAAAGATAAAGGCTCAGAGCAGCCCCAGGCAGCGATAGCCTGACAAAAGTGCAGAGATTAGCTGTGCTTTCCTGTGAAGGGTAAGGATCTCTTAGCTAGAGAACATGGGGAGGACGTCCCTTGGAAACGGGCAGGCTGTGTCAGATTGCTGTTGATATGGAGCGTGCCACGGAGGCTTTGCAGCAATTCGTCCTGCTTCAGGCACTCACAAGCTTTGCAGCAAAGTGCTTCAGATGTTTCTGTTCTGCTTGAATGCTGTGTCCTGTCGCCCCGCCGAGAGGGACGTATTTAGCATGCGAGATGGATGTTCACGGTCTGATGTTGGCTGACAGCAGGTGCCCTTTGCTGACTTGGTGTACAGGTCGGTGTTCCAAGGCACCTCACCTAGTTTCAGCTTGTCATATAGGAGAAGGAGATCGGTTGAAACCAAACAGCCCCAAATTCTTCCCTATGGACACCCAAATTTGGAGCACTCGCTTTTTTTTTGACCACCAAGAGATTTGGCTAAAAAAGTTGTTTTATAGATCCATGATGCATTAAGGGAAAGTCATTCCTCTGCTTTTCATGGTGACATCGGTGTTCTTTGGTGTTTCACACGCCTTCTGCAGACAATGTTATCTTCACATCTACATGTCAAAGGCACCTCTAAAAGAGCTGCAGGTCTTTCTGCCCAAAGCAGAATCTGCTTTATTGCTGCTAACTACTGAACACCTTGTCTTAAGGTCAACCTCCTTTTCTACTAGAATTTGCAGAAAGATAGAGGCAGAAATTATTTGCGTCAAAGGTTAGCCCATAGTACCTGCAGACTCTGAAGGAAGCTGTATGTTTCTCTAGCTGAGATCAGAATTTAGATAAATAATCTGTGCCAAGCACTTTGGTCCAAGTGCTTCATCTGCCAGATACAGTAATGCCCAGAGATTTACTCAACAACAGAAAGAATGGTGGTGCGTTAAATTATAGGGGTGTTTTCAGATTAGCGCATATATTAACAAATGGCTTGTATTTATTACAATGAAAATTTCTGGCACTGTGGAAGGATTAGCTCCTGCTTTCCTCACTTGGGAAATGAGTAATGTAACTTACATGGTTAGTGCTTAACCAGGTCAGAGGTGTTGCTGCAGCTGTGTATAGTTGCATTCAAATGACTATGTGCCTATGTCTTTTGAGCAACATCTATCCAGATTTAACTATAGCAATGATTTGCCTTTGGAGGGGTTAATATTTTTTGTCAAAATTGGGTATTTTTCTGAAATGTGTTGTTTTGCACAATTTTGCTTCTGCTGATGATGTTCGTTTGTTTGCTTGAGCCGAGTACTAACTTTTCATGTGTTGCTTTTATTTCTAGAAACCACAGATTCCACAGAGATAGACACTGACAAGGAGAAATATATGCTAAATGACAGGGGTAAATAAATGCATACAGTGTCACTGGATGGAATGGCTTTTCAGATTATGATACAATTTATTTTATCATGTAATTTGCATTTCATGTAACAAATTGTTTTATGATGTCTTTAGTGTCACAAATTAAGTGGAATTAATGGATGAAACATTGAGCTGCTGTTGAGGAAACCAGTGCCAGGAAATTCAAGAGACTGTAAAGTTTAGTCAATATTTACAATGGTATTTTTACTTATGCTGTTACAGCTAAACTCTTCATTTCCTATGATTTCTTCAATGCTTGAATAGTAAGGTCTATTCAAGTGCTGCTGCTGTCATTTTGCATAAGGCCATCAATAATTTTTAATATAACTTTCAAATTTTTTCAATTTTTTTGAGCTTTCAGTTTAAGTACAAGTCATTTGAAAAACAGGACAGAAAGGAAGAGGAGCAAGGGTGAGCTTAAATCTATTTTCCTTAAGAAAACATGTGAATTTTTTTCTCCTTTCTCTGTTCAATGCCCAGATCATAGAGACAAATATTCTATTCACTGAAAGATATTTTGAAAAGGAATTGAAGATCTGAAAGAAAGCTGAAGAATTTTTTCAAAAGTTATAATGGACTGTTTTATCATTTAAGTTTAACTGATGTTTTGTTTAGAAATTTGGATACAATTATGAGAAAATAAAAGCACCTTCTATGAGCTATGCCTTTCTGCCAGTTTTCCCCTGAGAGCAAACTGAAATGAGGGCCAGAAACACATTGAGTTTAACTCAATGTCAGTTTTTGCCTGTGGTGTTGTTACCTTGAATGTTGACCAAATTGCGATTCAGATTTTTGACATCGCTGTTGCTGACTGCAGCATGTCCTTGTCCACGTGGTCAGCTCCGTGAATTGTTTAATCTGCAGTGCATTTGCCCTTAAATTGACAGGTGCAGTTTAATTGTGGCTGTGTTCATAGGGAAGTAGTAAATACAAATAGAATATTAGGTAATAAAGAAGCAGATATAGATCTTTATGAGGTTTTGTCTGTGGATAAACATGAATTAGAAAGGTTTTACTGAACATCAATACTGATCAGCATTAAACTGCATGTACTTCAGGCAGGCACATGAAGGAAATGTTTCCAGTGGGAGATTTGTGTTAGGTGTGCGTGTGGCTCTGCGTTTCAGCTTCCAGCAGAATTGTAAACAGGAACAAGAATATTTACTCTTGTCATGAGAGTGGGATTTGTGGAACATCTATGGGGGAAAAACAAACCCCTAAAAACCTGCTTCTAAGGGACTGTAGTCTCCTGTGCCTACTCTTACCCGCAGTCAGTGCATTGGCCCAGTGGGGGCTATTCATAGAGTAAAATTCTACACTGTGTGGTGAGGTCCCAGTATTCTGGGTAGTAATTTGGTTTAGTGTTTAAAAGGGTTTTTTCACAAAGATTTAAAGTGATGAAACATCTAAGGAGGCTTTCACTTAAATTTCATAGGATACAGCAAGATGAACAGCAGCGAACAGTGAACGATGTCAAAGCAACTGTAGTAAAAATAAATTACAATATAGTAAATGTGCTTCGTAGTACCTTAGCTACAGAACATACATCATTGTGAATGTGTTCTCTTCATTTGAATACACTTAATTATGCATATTAATAGCAATTGGTGATACATGAACTGAGCTAAGCTTCCACTGCTCTGTTCTGTCTTAATGTGTTTCCTCTTACATTTTCTTTAGGTCCAGTGTTTTTCCTCGCTTGTTTTAGCGTTGCTGCAGGATTTGCATTATTTTGGTATTGCTGTAACTCAGGTAATCTACTCCGGTGTTTTTGCTCTTGGTTGCTTTACTTTAGCACGGGACGGGAGAGCAGCATGCCTCTTGATCTAACAGGGCTTAACTAATAGAGCGGGTCAAGGTGTCATCATTCATTAACAAGGCTTGGTCACAAATTGCGCTTCAGATGTGCCGAGATGTAAATAATGGATAGTTTGCCTCCAGAGGATGCCACAAATAGGGGTGCTTTTTAAAGACAGTAGTCATGTGAGCTCCTGTTGCTATAGCGATGGGTCATGATTCCCAGCAGTCATGAGACAGACCCAAACCTTCTGGGTTCCCCATCCCTTGGAGGGAGCTGGTTGAGCATGACCAGTGCCAGGGCCAGAGGACGCTAGCTTGATTTGTGAAGCCCGAGCAGTTACAACTGTTGCCCCTGTTGCTGACTCTGAGTGTTGGCTCTCCCTGTCAGCTAAAAGTCACCTGCTTCACAGCAGCCATCGGAGCGGAGCTCTTGCTCCTCATCATGGTCCTGCCTTCCACTCACCCAACGTTGCTGTGAGATGGGCAGCTCTTTGCAGAAAGTGCATTGATGCGTCCTCATGGATCAACTTCAGCAAAGCAGTGAGTCAGTGCTAGTAGGAGAGATCCAGAGAGAGAGAGTAGCTGATTCAGAGGCATCACTTTCTCTCGAGTCTTCCCGTTGTGCCATGGGAAGTGCCAGTCTTCACGTGGTAGATGGGGAGCAGAATCCAAACTCCATTTTGGTTTGGTGCCTTCTGCTTCTCATATCCCGGTCACAGCAGTAGCTGTTGGACATTGTTCTTTACTGGTTTGTTCCCAGAGCTGTAGGCCACAGTAGCACCAGTTCATGGACATTTTGGGTGATGTGGGAGTCTGGGCTGGGTTATCCTTCATTTCCCAGATCAGAGTCCCTCAGCTGGACTGTCCATGGAGGCAGGGTTTAAGGCTAAAAGGGGACCATTAGACTTTTGCAGCTAACCCGTGTGTTTCCTTAGCTGCCATCACTTCCCTTCATCAGGTTCAGTCACCAGTATTTAATAGAAGCATTTTCAGGAAAGCATTCAGGGAGTGATACCAAAAAACCAGACTATCCATCACTTCCCTTGATCCCGGTTATTGTCCGTAGCATTAGAAGTGTGTGTCTTAGTCTCAGTTTAAACTGGTTTAAGCTCCAGTCTGTCATTTTTGTTAAGGCTTTCTTGACCAGGTTGCAGAGCCCCTTAGCCCTATGTTTCTGTACCAGCTGACATTTTGTATTTTCTTCCTGTGGAGGTCCTTATACCTTAATTCAGTTCTCTGTCTTTATTTTTGCTAAAATTAGCAACTAATCTCTGCAAGTCTTTTGTTCCAAGGCCCTTTTTTCTGGTTTTTGGGGGCTTTTTCCTGTACCTATGCAGTATCTCAATGCCCCATGTGCAACAGGGCCACCAGATCTGGATGTGGTATACCAGGCTTGCACTGTCCAGTGCCGTGCTCAAGTGTAAAGCTGCGTCCTTACCAAACTCAGTGATCTCTTCGAGTGTCTGAATTTGCAGCCATGAATCCTAACAGATTCATCATTATCCTGTCTTGGCAGTTGATATATACAATATTGAAGGAAATGGGCTTTCCTCAGACTCTTTTTTTTTTTTTAACTTATTATATTTTTTGTGGATGTTGCTTACTAGCTAGGATGAAACTTAACTGTGTTCGCTTTCTCTTCCTCTTCCCATCCTCATTCTATTTTAGATACAAAAGTCGTAGGAAGAGCCAGGAGAATCTTGGGCTTTTCTCCTATTATCATAGGAAGACATGTTAGAAATATTTGTATGTTGTATTTGGAAGACGTATCAAGAAATTAAGGAAAAGCTGCTTCTTCGTTTGTCTGTGCATTATACCTGCCAAGGGAAGACAACGGTGCATGAATATTAATGTATTATACTCTCATACCAAAGATTTTATTAACTAGCTTCATCAGTATTTGTGTTGCCTCAAGGTGTATTCAGAATTTCAGCTATATATGTCCTTCCTTATGGGAATGGACCATTTATTTTTGTAAATGATTATTTTAAAATGTTTATCATTTGGATAAAAAATATTTTTAATACAAACTTTAAAATTGTATCCTAAGTGATTGTGGGTCTTAAACCATGTTTGCATATGTGTTTTATACTGGAATGAAGGATCACAATTGTTTAAAGAATGCTAGCCTGTCTTTTGTGATAATTAATTTAAGAAAAGCACTCAAAAACCCACATGCACTCAAAGCCTTACTAAGAAATGGATCTTCATCTCAAGATGGTCTGTTTTGTCTCAATCCTTTATACCTACTGCCTGAGCTCAGGTGGGCGCTACGAAGTTTCTCAGTGCCAGTTACCTTTGGGTATGGCAGGTACTTGCTGTGTTTTCTAATTCTCCTGTACATGCCTCATCCCAGCCTGCCTTGCTCATGTTCACACTCAGCTGTTGGATGTGGTTGGAATGTGCTGGAGCTGGTGCAGGCTGGTTCTTAGCCTGCGGAGGGTCCCAGCAACTGGAGTGTCTGATCTGAAGCACTTGAAACTAGCAAGAAAATTTTTCAGATTTATTTAGCTTTTCTTTTTCCGGTGATGTGTTTTGCAGTCTGTATATCTAAGAAACTGAAGTAATTCAAGATATTTTGCCGGGACTTAAGTGCCATGACATGGGACTTTTTTTATGGCCAAAAATATATACACTTACTTGAAGAGCCTGAGGTTGTTCATGGTGTCATTTGATGATGTTATATTTTTCTTCGGTGAGTTGAAACCTGAAAAACTTGCAGAAACCGTCGTAAGACTAAAATTCCTGAGCAAGACACAGGGAGTCAGGGCTGCAAGTGAAGCATCTTGGGGTTTCTTAGCTTTATGAACCTAACCATGCTCCTGCCTAGCTCAGTACAAATGGCTTTCTTTTTCCAATTGGGAGGTGCAGTAGTTCTGAACTGGCTGTGAGAAATGACATTGTCAGTGGATAACTCTTCAAGCACCTGCGCAAGAGCATAAGGAGCTTGGGGAGACCCTGTCCCTATACTTGGTGAGAATGATGCCTTGTGGCTCTTCATCCACTGACCGAATGAAGAGATTTCCAGATCAAATCAAATGTCACCTGAATCAAAGTTGCAGCTACATCACAAGTTACCATGTGCTGGAGGATTCCATGTGAAATTTTAAGTAATTTGGAATGGTTTTCTCAAAACAGTCAGACTAAAAATTGTCTTCCAGCTTTAAACTTTATTCATGCTATAAAAATACAATCTTCTCCAAAGCAAATCATCTTGTAATAACTGTATTTCCTTACAGGACAACGTTCACCTGATATAGTAGCAAGCATGTAGTCCAGAGGAGGAATTGAGTACGGGGCCAGATTTTCAAATAAAAGATCCAAAGAGTATTTGCAGGAAGTGTCTTGAGACATGAAAAAAGGCTCAGGCAACCCTGAGTAAACTCTTGTGGTAAAATGGTTTTACCTGTGGTCTTGGTGTATGGTTGGGACACGAGCCAGCCCCACGTAGAGGTAGCCACAGTCTTTGTTAGGTCAGATCTCAAGAACAGACCACGTGTCTTCATGGCCATCGCTGGTGTGAGTGAAGCTCATCTCAAAACACCCAACTCGGCTGGGCTGCACGGACAGCACTACAGCCACGCTATAAGTCAGCACAGGCTCTTTGGTTCAGTGTTTATTCTGACTCTGGGAAGCCGAGCTCCCAGTTGCTCATTTACACTGCGAACGGTGCCTCCGCCAGCCGTGTTAAAGCTGGCTTGGCTGTTTTATAAAGCTGTAGCTGCTCCTTTGACTGCAGAGCCAGCGTTTCCCTAACAGCTCCCCCAGTGTAACTGTGCAGTGTTCAGTGGAAGAGTTGTCTGTGTAGACAGACAGACGTACCCCAAGCTCAGCAGTGGGACGAGGGATGTTATAAACAGTAGTCTGATTGCTGCAGTGTAAAACATGGAATGAGACCAATGCCACGTGAACGAAATAACACCCAGGCCAGCAGTTTATTTAGACTTCTTTTCCACTGCCTCAGCCCCACCAGCTCTTGCATCTCTTCAATCTAATCCCCACAGGGACTCTTACTAGGGAGAAAATGGTGATGGAGCTGAGCGTGTTTCCTACAGAACTGGCTAACCGCGAGGCTCTGCTGCCCATGTTACACAGCGACCTGCTGTTGTACTGCCTTCCATCTTGGGAAGCGCTTTCGTTATATTGTTGCTTTCTGTCTGCCTCACCTTGTTTAAGGTGGCAACAGGTTGATTTTTTCTCCAGCAAACCAGTTCTAATTTATAACATTTGAAATGAAATGTTCCTTTCCCCAGCACTGCTTACCTCCTATAGCAGCCGCTTTTTAAGCAACTAGAAGAAATACCTCTGAAATCTAAAGGGGTTTTAAGTCTTTGCTTTGAAGTCAACTTTGAAACCACATTAGAGGAACAATATTCCATTTTACACAAAAAATCATTACTCAAACTAATCGCCACAGTCACATCTCATTTTATAAGCAGAAATGGGTGCCTTATTGCTGCTAGGCAGGTTCTTTTTGTGTAGATTATCCACTGTGTTACGCTTTGAGTAACAGGTTGCAAATTGTTGTGAGCTGTTGCTGAAACCTACAGAAGCTTCTGGTGCCTTATTTAGTCTGAAGGTGAGATTCTGCTATACCTACTGGTTCAAGGATGCCTTGCAGTGCCAGGAGCCCTCTCGGGTTGATAAAACTGCCCCAGGAGCACACTGGCAGTGCAGTAGGACATGGTCCTCCCACTTCCTTAAACAAGGTCGTTTTTTCTTGAGCCTTGAAAACTGTATGGAATAGGAAAGCTGACTAAAGGCTATGCCTATATTTCTTCCCTTTCTGAGGTTGCTTGAGATGAGCATGTTTCTTGGGGGGCAGGGGGGGGGGGTGTGGAAATCCCGGATGAGCTGTCCCCTAGGGTTAGGGCTGGGAGGAGAGAGGAAGAATGACTCTTGGTTCATCCTGGTGTTATTAGTTAGAGGATCTGACAGCAAAGAATATAAAATAATCTGTTCCTTTATTAGCAATAGCTTTTAATTTAAAAAGTAAAAGTGAGGCTAGCTATAAAATTGGCATGTACATGGGTTGGGAGACATTCTTTTTCTTGGAAGATTTTTCTTTCAGGAGCAAATACCAAGATTTCACACCCTTCTCTGCAAGCATATCTATGCAGCACATGCAGGCAGTAGATGAAGTGATAATTCCATCTTCAGTTCCTGGAGGAAGCCCGTCTGTACCTGCGTGGGAGTCAGGTCCTTCTAGGCAAGCAGTGCTATTTACTTGGAAGTAAATCAAGGTAGGGTCTTGGATGAGCCTGTCTAGCTGCAGAATCCCAGCTTCCCTGTCAAGGCAAGAATAGCTTGGTGTTCGCTGCTGAAACTATCCTAGTATTTAAGAATGTGTTTTACTTTCTGTGCAGGGAATTTGTCCTGGCTGTGTAAATGTCGGTAGGGGGTCACATGTGCAGAGGATAGAGACCGTTCTTGTGAACGCCGTGGTTCTTGTGCTGCAGACAGTAAATGTACAGGAACTAATAAAAAGCAGCCATATTTTCAACATACCTCGTGCAGCTCTCATTGAAGAAGTAAAACATTTGCTTTTCCCTGCAGTGTAAGCAGCGTTGTGCCTTTAGCGGCATTACGGGCTAAGGAGCCAAATGGCTATGGCATGAGGGATGCTCTCTTGGAGGCTGAACATGGCTCTCTGGAAAGAGAGGAGCAAGGAAGAGCTGTGGTCTCTGGAGGGTGGGAGTGTGCAGGTTATGGAGCAGTTGGCTCCCCTGCCACCTTGGGCTGTGCTTTGCTGCGGGTGCCTGGCACGCGGACGTGCTGCAGCTCCTGCCAGGGACTGTCCCCCTTCGCTGCTGTGCCACTTGTGCGTGAATCCCCAGGGGAGAGATTCAGGGATGAGCTCCACGCTCTTCAGCCTGGAAGACTCCTGATACCTAGCCAAAAACAGTCTTCCTTCCCTGTTTTTTTTCTTATGGGTGGGTTTTTTTTCTTTAAAGTAACACTGAACTGCCTGAGATTGGCTGGGTGATGATGTCGGGGCTATCTAGATTCAAGGACAGGAGTGAGTTATCAAAGACAGATAACCCCCGAAGCAGAGCGTACAGGCAGCTGGCCCAAGCTGTGTCAATAGTTAAGGCAGAGTGACGGGCCGCCTGCTCCCAGAGAGTGCTGGGAAGCGAAGTGACAGATCCTATAGTGAATTTGCACAATTCCATTTCAAGACAGACTGCTATTTAAAGTAATTCAGTGAAGTATGATGTGCCTGCAAGCCAGAGCTGGAATAAAGTGATGATTCATTCTGAGACAGACTGGGCTACTTCATAGCTGCTGGCTGGAGTTTTCAAAGCTGCTGAGGCAAAGTTACTCTTTTTCTTTCTTTCATGTGATTTTTTTTTTTTTTTCTCATACTGTAATATATTGAAAACATATTTGGTCAAAATTTGCAGTTGTGGATGCTTTTCACTGCTGTTCTGTATGCACAAATGTTATTCGAGAGAGATGCCATGCTATAGCTGTGTGATCAGCACTGCTGTTATGCTAAGAAATGCCATTTGCTGTACTTCACAGGTCCTGTGTTTTATAATCATTTCTCCTAATGTATGTGTTCTTGAATTCTGTAGAAATAATGTTGGTTGTTTTTTTTTTTAATGGGGTGAAGCTGGCAATTAAATTGAAATAAAATCTGTACTGAGAAAAAAATTACGCCGTTTTTCTTGTAGTTAATGCTTTGTACTTCCTTCCGGAAGCACCCCTCAATGTGTTGCCCTCACATGGCTGCTGTCTGCTGACTGATTCCCTCGTGGTCTCTCTGCTCTGTGATGGTTAAATTTTTGCTTTGGGTATTTGTGGCCAGATTTTTACCGTTTTCATCTGCTTTCAAAATTCTTTGCAGTTTTTCTGCTTAACTGGTTTAGTGAACTGAAGTTAAACAGGACACGTGGGTGCAAAGACTGGGTGTCTTTTGGTTCGGCCTTGACTTTGTGTCATTTTGGTAGCCTAGTGAATCATTCCCCATCAGGATTTGGTGTGGAGGAACTACCCCTTCTTGGTATAAAGCAACTTTGGTCAAGAGTGATTTTAAGGGTTACTTGGACCACCCAAAAAAGGGCTTCAGGTAAGAAAAACATGCAGACAAATTTGTTGCTGGCCTGTTCTTTTTGATAGACTTTGAAGGGGGATCATAGAATCACAGACTGGTGTGGGTTG